GGGTAAACTGAGGATGGGTAAAGGGTAGAGGAAGGATTGGTAAAGGAGAGGGAGATATGTGCAAAGAGCAATGAAAGGAAAGGGAGGACGGGCAAGAGCAAGGGAGCGATGGAAAGAGCAGAGGGAGGGATGGGCAAAGAGCAGAGGGAGAGATGGGTAAAGAGCAGAGGGAGATACGGGTAAAGAGCAGAGGGGGATAAGGGCAAAGAGGCAAGGGAGGATGGGCAAAGAGCAGAAGAGGGTTAGAGCAGAGGGAGGGACGGCAAAGAGCAGAGGGACGATGGGCAAAGAGCAAGGGAGCGGATGGGTAAAGAGCAGGGGAGATAAGGGCAAAGAGCAGAGGGAGATATGGGTAAAGAATAAAGGGAGGGACGGCCAAAGAGCAGAGGGAGCGATGGGCAAAGAGCAAGGGAGCGATGGGTAGAGAGAGGGAGGGAAAAGAGCAGAGGGAGATACGGGCAAAGAGCAAGGAAGCGATGGGCAAAGAGCAGAGGGGGATAAGGGCAAAGAGCAAGGAAGCGATGGGCAAAGAGCAAAAGAGCAGAGGGAGCGAAGGGCAAAGAGCAAGGAGCGATGGGAAAGACAGAGGGAGCGATGGGCAAAGAGCAAGGGAGCGATGGGTAAAGAGCAGAGGGAGCGGCCAAAGAGCAGAGGGAGATGGGCAAAGAGCAAGGAAGCGATGGGCAAAGAGCAGAGGGGGATAAGGTAACAGAATGGGCTGGCAAAGAGCAAGGGAGCGATGGGCAAAGAGCAGAGGGAGCGATGGGTAAAGGGGACTCCGCGTTGACAGGTATTACGGGCAACTTCCGGAGTGTACCGCTGAACGGGGTCGCAGCCGCCCTCCCGCCGGAAACCTTTTTCATTGTCGGTCGTTTCAGGGTCATCACTCTCGCTCGGCTTCGGACTTGGGTTTGACGTGCTTTTAGTTGTATGTTTTTTATCTTTTTTATCTTTTTTATATGGAGGTATACGTAGTACAGTGGCGGACAACAGTCATGTCATAAATTGAAGCTTCGAATCTGTCTTTATACGAAAAGTGTGGCGTTGAGCGCATGTTCGAAACGGGATTCGAGATAGGTTTGGCAAGAGTTTTGACTGCACCTATTTTCCCATTATCAGATACACTCATACATCATCATCATCATAAAAAAACAGGGAGAGAGAGAGAGAGAGAGAGGAGAGAGAGGAGAGAGAGAGAGAGAGAGAGAGAGAGAGAGAGAGAGAGAGAGAGAGAGAGAGATGAGAGACAGACAACAAAAGATCCAATTCTGTGATTCCAACTTTACCCACAAACCCAAGTTCAATCCCCAGCCACAATGTTCGCAGTTACGAGGCTGACACACTGAACGAATCGCACAAGAAACTGCAACTCGAATCGGGCGACATTTACACGCTCTATTTTCTCCTCGAAGTGTTTATCAAAAGTTCTAGAATCAAGTGTCAAGTGACCAAAATCAACAACTAAATATGATAATGAAGTAGCTATGCAGGTAAGGAGGTCGATGGATTTCTTAGGTCTCAGACGCGGCACAATAAGCCTCAATAAGCCTAAAAAAAAAAAAAAAAAAAAAAAAAAAAAAAAAAAATTGTCGCCCGCTCTGGCTCCAGAAAGCCCAGTCACGGCGGCGCGTCCTGGAGACTAAGGTGGGATGGGGGGGGGAGGGGAATATATATGTCACTTGATTTTAACTCATGAGCATCCACCGTTGCAATTGCATTTTAAGATCATTTTTCGCCAAAAGAAAAAAAATACGCGAGGGAAAGAATATATTAAAGGTTTATTTATATGCGCTGCCCAAAACGGGCCAAGAAGTCTAAGCTTCTACCCAAACGGGCTGAGCCTCAATTGACCCAAAGGGCCCACCAGTCAAGTATTAACTTCGCAGATCTGAAGGACGGCACTCTAGTGTTCACCTTAACTGGGGAAAGGGAGGGAGAAAGAGAGAAAAGAAGAAAAAAGAAAGAGAAGGGAAGGGAGGAGGGAGGGAGGGAGGAGGAGGAGGAGAGGGGAGAGAGGGAGTAGATAGATAGATAGATAGAGAGAGAGAGAGAGAGAGAGAAGAGAAGAGAGAGAGGGAGAGAGAGAGAGAGAGAGAGAGAGAGAGAGAGAGAGAGAGAGAGAGAGAGAGAGCAGAGAGAGAGAGAGAGAGAGAGAGAGAGAGAGAGAGAGAAGAGAGAGAGAGAGAGGAGAGAGAGAGAAGAGAGAGAGAGAGAGAGAGAGAGAGAGAAAGAGAAAGAGAAAGAGAAGAGAAGAGAAGAGAAAAATGTGCGCGGAGCCCATCAGACCGGCTCACCACGTCGCCATTAATAAAGCGGGTTCCATCGTCCTCCAAAAACCGTCTCCATCAATCACCGCCGGCGCGCTCCTTCGTGGGAATCCCTGCCAATCTCGCGCGCTCCCTCCTTCGCATTCCGGCCCTCCTATCACCCTCCCCTTCCCTCCCTGTGCCCTTCCTTTCCCTCTGCCCTCTCCTCTCCCCCCCCCATGCCCCTTCGCCTTCCCCTTCCCCATCCCCTTCCCTCTCCCCCTCCCTCCCCTTTCCCTCCCTCCCTTCCCCTTCCCCCTCCTTCTGCCCCTCTCCTCCCCTCCCCTCCCCTGAACCTCTCCTCTCCTCCCCTTCCTCCTGACCCTCGCCTCCCCCTTCCTCTTCCCCTCCCCCCCCTCCCCTCCTCCCCTCCCCTCCCCTCCCTTCCCCTCCCCTTCCTCTTCCCCCCCCTTCCTCCCCCTCCCCCTGCCCCTCTCCTCCCTCTACCCCTCCCCCTTTCCCCCTCTCCTCTCCCCTCCCATTCCCCCTCC